TCCTCTTTTTCTCTCATTCTCTCTTTTCTTCTCTCTCTCTCTCTCTCTCTCTCGACCCAATCGGAACATCGGCTAATGATCCCCTCTTCCCCCTCTCTTTCTCTCTCTCTTCCTTTCTCTTTTCTCTCTCTCTCGGCCGAGTCTGACTGGCGGCCCCTCTTCCCCCTCTCTTTCTCTCTTTTCTTTCTCTCTCTTGGTCCAGTCGGACCCGGTCCCCTCTCTTTTTTCTTTCTTTCTCTCTTTTCCCTCTCTCTCGGCTCAATAGCCACCGGTCCCCTTTCTTCCCCCCCTCTTTCTCTTCTCTCTCTCTTTTCTCCTCTCTCTCACTACCACCGGTCCCCTCTCTTCCCCCTCCTCTCTTTCTCTGCCTCCTCTCTCTCGCGCCTATCGGCATGGATCGACGGCTTAGCCCCTCTTCTCTCCCTATTTTTTCTACTCTTCTCTCTCTCTCCCACCGACTCGAATCGGCAGCTAAGATGTTGACCCCCCTCTCTTCTCTCTCTTTCTTCCTTCTCTCTCTCTCTTCTCCTCTCTCTCCCACCGGTTCGAATCGGCTGTCGATCCCCCTCTCTTCTCTCTCTTTCTTCTTTTTCTCTCTCTTCTCCTCTCCCTCACCACTGACTTGGATCGGCAGTTGGGCCGCTGGTCCCCTCTCTTCTCTCTCTTTCTTCTCCTCTCTCTCACCATCGACTCCCTCGCTCTCACCGGCACCACCGATCCCCTCTCTTCTCTCTCTTTCTTCTCTCTCTCTTCTCCTTTCTCACCACAGACTTCTTCATCCTTACCGGTGCCGTCAGTCCCCTCTCTCTTTCTCTCTCCCCTCTCTCTCGCCCACCGGCTCGGACCCACAGCTAAGCTGTCGGTCCCCCCTCTTCTCTCCCTTTCTTCCTCCTCTTCTCTCTCTCTCTCTCTCCCACCCCTCTCTTCTCTCTCTTTCTTTCTTCTCTCTATTCTTCTTCCTCGCCCTCACAGGCTCGAACTAGCAGCTAAGCCGTCGGTCCCCTCTCTCCCCCTGCTTTCTCTATCTTTCTCTCTCTCGCCCACTTGCTCGAATCAGCGGCTAAGCTGCCGACCACCTTCTCTCCCTTTCTTCCTCCTGTTCTCTCTCTCTCTCCCACCCCTCTTCTCTCTCTTTCTTTCTTCTCTCTCTTCTTTTCTCTCGCCCTCATCGGCTCGAACAGGCGGCTACGCCGTTGGTCCCCCTCTCCTCTCTCTTTTTCTCTCTTCTTTCTCTCTCTCTCTCCGTCACACTCACTGGCTCGGTTAATCACCAGTCCCCTCTCTTTTCTCTCCTCTCTCTTTCCCTCTCTTTCATTTCTCTCTCTCTCTTGCACTCTCTGCTTGGACCGGTGGCTAAGCTACTGGTCCCCTCTTCCCCCTCTCTTTTCTCTCTCTCTCTTGCACTCTCGGCTTGGACCAGTGGCTAAGCTGCTAGTCCCCTCTTCCCCCTCTCTTTTCTCTCTCCCCTCTTTTCTCTTTCTATTCTATCTCTCGCTTTCTTCCCCCTCTTTTCTCTCTCTCCCTCCACTTTCTCGCTTTCTTACACTCTCGGCTTGGACCGGTGGCTAAGCTGTCGGTTCCCTCTTCCCCCTCTCTTTTCTCTCTCCCCTCTTTCCTCTTTCTATTCTGTCTCTCGCTTTCTCTTGATTTCTCTCCTTTCCTCTCTTGTTCTCGCTCTCTCTCCTCTCTCTCTTTCTCTCTTTTCTCGTCCTCTCTCTCTTCTCTCTCCCTCGGTCTCTCTTCCTCCCTCTCTCTCTCAGTTTCTCTCTCTTCTTCCCCTTCTCTCGATTTCGCTCTCCTCTTCCTCTCTTCTCGTCTCTCTTTCTTGCTCTCTCTTCCTCTCTTTCTCGCTCCCTCTTTCTTCTCTCTCTCGATTTCTCTCTCTTCCTCTCTTCCTCCCTCTCTCGGTTTCTCTCTCCTCCTCTTCCTCTCTTCTCCTCTCTCTATCATGATCTGTCTCACTCTTTCTCTTTCTCCCCCTTCCGCCCTGATTTCCTCTCTCTCTCACTTCATCTTGATAATCTCTTACTCTTTCTCTTTTTCTTTCTCAACAATTCCCATTCTTTTCTCTTTCATCATTTCCTCTCTCTCTCTCTCACTTTATCTTGATAATCTCGGACTCACTCTTTTTCTTTCTCAACAATTCCCATTCTTTTCTCTTTCATCATTTCCTCTCTCTCTCTCTCTCACTTTATCTTGATAATCTCTGACTCTCTTTTTCTTTCTCAACAATTTCCATTCTTTTCTCTTTCATCATTGCATTTCTCTTTTATTTACACATATCATCATCATCATCACTCTCTTTACCCTTTATTTTAACATTATTACAAGGTTGTTTGTTAAGATGACTTCGAAAGGCTGTCAAGTTGATGAATAATCGTCCATTCTTATCTTCTTCATCTCCTT